ATAATTGTAATCACGATGGTAAATAACCCTTGTGTACATGTTTTCAGCGGGTTTGGTGACTTAGGCAATTTAAAAATGAGCTCGACGCCTAGAGTGAAGTGCTGACCCATTTATTGGCAGGTTCGCTTTTTTTTGCCGAGAGGCCTCTATGCTGAATATTCATTGGTTTCGGCTTCAAGAAATCGTTTGGTCTCTAAAATGGTATGAGCCTTGTAGTTTTCGCCTAGCTAGCTCTATAACCGCATTGGTGCCATAGTTCCTAGTAACAGCAAAAAACTGTCTACAAACCGTTGCAATTCAGGATATGAAGCTAGTTAGGCATATGGCGAGGTAGAGGAGTCCGTGACCCGGATCTCCGCGTTTTCCCTCTCCAGGGTTACTTAGATGGCGTTGAAGTTTCTCATTTTCCAAGGTAGCGCTCATACTTCGTTGCAGTTGCGATCGCTGCGACCATAGGCGCGACGGTAGTAACAGTCAACCTAATGGTAGCCCCGAGGATGGCGGCGATCGCGGCTGAATTCCCGTTCCCGTCCAGTATGAACGCTGTCTAGGGTAGTGGTACCGCTAATTTTTCACTAGAATCTGTCGCAGTGATTATGAGAATATACGCAAGTCGCTTTTATCAATTTAATATTCCCTCACCTATTCTCGTTTAGATCTTTCTTCTTCTGCGCTAAGGTGATTTATTTTATAATTCGATTAATTTTCAGATAGCAGCATCGGTTGGTATCCCGACAACACCTCCACATGCAGCTCCACCGAACTCTCAGTCATCAAACGGACATAATATCCAGAGTTATCAACAAGCCATTGGCATGGACTACCAGTCCCCACCAGTGATCTCACCTTCCAATACACCTCAAAGTCAGCTCGTACAAGGTCATCTACCTCAGCAAGGATACTCAGCATCTACTCCATACTCATATCCACAAACGGTTGTGCCAGCCAATCAGGAGAGTCAAGTTGTATCGCCCAATGGACATCATTATTCTGCCGCTTCTGGAACAGGTTCACAAGTACAAGGTCACGCTGGAAATGACGGCCAGTTTTTTCATCAACAGCAATATCAAGCAGCTCCTCCGATAAGAAGGTAATATTCCTGAAATTATATTTTTGCTGTTGGTGGTAGCAATGGTCACACGAACAAGGGAACTTGTCCTCAGCGTGTCATGACCCATCATACAGCATGTTCCAAGGCGATATGTTGTCAGATGACATGCCCTGGTGAGGGATTGTTACCGTTAAACGGTAATGCTCGGATGTTGCAACGAACTACAATTGCACCGTCAGGCAGCGTTCAGACTTCGCGACAGCAGCGCTTCGGTCTCGCGCATGCTTTCGATTGCATTGATCGCGTCGAACGCGCAACCGAGGCGCTGCCGTCGCGAAGTCTGAACGCCCCCTTATTGCTTGGTAGTAGTGTAGCTGATCGGTTCATTTCAAGGTGTATCAATATAGCACGCTATATGAATAGGACAAAACCGTTCATTCAATGCATTCAAAAAGAAGCTCGACTTAGCTGCGGCTACGTGGTAATAAATAGTGGAGCAGATCGAATTCTCACCAATCAAGTCTTCATCTTTGTAATATGCATAGCTCGACACCTAAGCTGCTAGGGAGAACTGTGATCCTAATATTTGTGAATTTTCCCACCTACGTGGAACAGGGCGGGTACTGCCGCTTACCAGGCGTTTGG